AGAGTTAATGAAGAACTTTTTTAAGGCTTTATTATTTCACTAATCAGTCAGATTGGTCTAAACACCTGATGTGGGCTGAGATAGCTCAGAACTCTCATCCCTCATTGACTGGGAGGGATACAGTGCAGAGGAAAGATTTTGGGTGGTGGCCAAGAATGTACTGGATCTGGCCTTGTTGGCTGATTTCCACAATCGCCATCCAAATAAACCAGCACCATGTCCCAGAGGCTGTCCCAAGAAGTCACTTTCTGGTTCCTGTCCATTCCCAAATCCTTTCCTGTGGATATTCCCACAGTCCTTCACTTTCCCAGCACCACGACGGCTCAGGGGTTCTGTTGTCCAATACCTCCAGTCATGTGGGGGGTGGTCGTCATGGGTGACCTTATTCCAGAGCCATGCCCAACTTTTCTGTGGACACTGCCTCCCAACCTCCAGATAATTTTGATTCCATTGGTACCATGAGAAGAAAAACAGTGCCCTACCATGATGCTTCCACCTCCATACTTCCCTGTAGGTATGATATTTTTAGGATCATATGCAGAGCCATTTCTCTTTCAAGCATAGTGCATCAAAAAGGTTTGCTGAGAAGTTTGATTGATCATGAATGTAGATTGTGGCAGTGGAGTGCACTGCGTATTGTTTTCTGTGTGATTGCTGTACCTGCTGCTTTCAGGTGTTTTTGGAGCTCTCTTCCTGTGGTCCTTTGTTCTTGGGTTACTGTTCTGACAAACTTTCTGACTGCCTCTTAAGAAATCTTGTGAGGAGCTTCTTTATGTGGCCAGTTGATGGTCAAGTGATGTTCCTTCCACTTACAGATAATGGTGGTGCTTAAAGGAACATTAAGGAGTTGAGAAATGCTATGCTGCTCTACTTCATGTTGTGAAGGTTTTGTGAGAGCTTTTTGCCTTTACCCATCATGTAATGTTTCTTGTGTTACAGCTGACAAATGGTTTGTATACTTGCATTCTTTCTTCAAAGAGTTGTAGTACTAACCTACACAAATCAGCTGGCTTAGTGCTGTTTTTTTTTACTGTGTCCAATACTTTTTTCCTGTGTTATTTCACTTTATTACACATAGCTTTTTTATGGATTAGAATGTTACTGTTTCTTTAGTTGTGCAGTTTCAGTAAATAAATAACATTGTCTGGTCTAAATTTCATGTAAATAGCTGAAATGAAAACATATTTAATTGAACATCCCTTTCCAAAACCATGGACATCAGCATGGAATTGCCCCCTCTTTGCAGGTATAACAGCCTCCACTCTGGGAAGGCTTTTCCCAAGATTTTGGAGTGTATTTGTGGGAATTTGTGCCCCTTCAGGTAAAAGATCATTTGTAAGATCAAGAACTAATGTTGGATGAGAAAGCCTGGCTTGCTGTTGCTGTTTCAGTCCATCCCAGGGGTGTTCAGTGGGGTTGAGGTCAGAGCTCTGTGCATACCACTGGAGTTCTTACACACCAAACTTGTCAAGCCATGGACCTTGCTTTATGCACAGGGGCACAGGCGTGCTGGAACAGAAAAAGGCCTTCTCAAAACTGTTGCCACAAAGTTGGAAGCATTTAATTGTCTAAAATGTCTTTGTAAGCTGTAGCATTAACATTACCCTTCAGTGGAACTAAGGGACTGAGCCCAAACCCAGAGAAACAGCCCCAGACCATTGTTCCTCCTTCACCAAACCTTACTGTTGGCATTACAGTTGGTAGTGTTCTACTGGTATCTGCCAAAACCAGATTCATCCATCAGAGTGCCAGAGAGTTAAACTGCTCCTGAGTCCAGTAGTGGCATGCTATACACCTCTCTGGCAGATCATTTGTATTGCACATAGTGATTTTAGGCTTGTGTGCAGCTGCTCAGCCATAGAAACCTATTTTAATGAAGCTCCCGGCGAGTTCTTGTGCTGATGTTGCTTCTGGTGGCAGTTTAGAACTCTGTTGTTAGGGATGAAACAAATAATATGTGATTTTTACAGGCTGCACTCTTCAGCTTCCCCACTCAGTGCCTTCCGCTTCAAGACAGAGCTGTTATTTCTTGTAGATGCTTCCATTTCATAACAATAGAACTTGACCTGGGCAGATCTAGCAGGACAGAAATTTTACAAACGGTCATGATACCTGTTAACAGTGGGTGTGACTGAAATACATGCACTCAATAATTAGGAGGGGTGTTCACATACTTTTGGCTAAGTAGTGTGTGTGTGTGTGTGTGTGTGTAGCAATATATAAGTTGTTGACTTGATTCAAAAGCTTTTAAACAACAAAATATGTCCTTAGTATGCAGTGTTTTGTTTTTTTTGGAATGATCATGATGTAATTTGACATTCAGTTCAGTGGATCAGGTAGACTAGTGTTTGCTTTGATAGAGCTGTTCATTAAATTAAAACAGATTGCTCTATGTTAAACCCCTGAAGTTACTGGTTTAACCAAACTGTAATTCAGTATGTTTTGTTGATGCTTTTTCTTCCTGTGGCTTTTAATTTTGCAAATCTGTAGTCCTGAGTTTAAATCGAGTTGCGAGTCAGTTAAGTGCAATTCTGAGTGGGCATGCAAGTCAGGTCAGCACTTGCCTTAATACAAATGCTTAATACAAAGTGTAAAGCTAAATAGCTAAACAGTAATTAATGCCTCATTAACACAGAATAAGTATGGTCTACATAGCCTTTTAACTTTTAACACTCACTGTGCAAGGCCATTTCCAAAAGGTTGGGACACTATGCAAAATGTTAATAGAAACAGAATGCAAAGATGTGCAAGTCATTTAAATCCTACATTTAATTGAAAGTAGCGCAAAGACAAATATTAAATGTTAACACTGAGAAAATGTATTGTTTCTTGAAAAAAATCTCTGTGTTGCATCACCTATTCTTTTAACACTTTGTAAGCTTTTGAGACCAATTGCTGTAGTTTTGAAAGTGAAATGTTGGTAGCACTTTATTTTACAGAGGTATGTTTCAGCTTGTACTACTATGAAGTTGGTAATGGTAAGTACCACCAAACTGTTTCAGGAAATACATGCTTGTGTGTTAGTGAAGAGTAGGTGACAATGGTGTAAAAATTGCATTGTACCTACCACTCACTACTTAGTAAGTACACTCTTATAATTCATTCCATGTTATGTAATAAATTTTCTGGCAAATTTTCTGTAAAATTATGGAAACAGGACTGTAAAATAAAGTGTTACTTTGTATGTAGGTCAACAAACAATGGTAAAATTTGCACAAGCAAATAATCCAATATAAGAACAGTGCTCATAATTCATAATTGCAGGGAAATTAGGGAACTGACAGTTCATAGCATTATTAACAAACGAAATCAATATTGATTGCTTGTGTCCTTCAACCTTTCAGATAGCACTGCATTATGCTGATATGCTTCTATAATGAATATAACCACAGTTCATGGCTGGATCTACAAATGCAAGTTAAGAATGTGCTATACAACGTGGAAACACTAAATCAAGAAAATCCAAAAAATCCACCAACTTCCTGGGCTAAAGCTTGTCTGAGATGGACTGATGCAAAGTGGAAACACATCAAAGTATTTTGTTCTTTCATGGTTTAGGAGGTATGTTAGTGCCAATGGCATGGGTAACTTGCACATTTTTTTCTTGCTGTTTGTTTCAGCAAGACAATGCCAAACCACATACTGAATGAGTTAAAAGTGCTTGGCTTTGTAGCCAGAGAGTACAGGTGCAAAACTGGTCTGCCTGCAATCCAGATCTGTCTGCTATGTGTAGTGTTATATCAAGCAAGAATATGCAAAATATGCTGAATATTTTTGGTTGTTGAACTATTCTCAGTCCAACAGTGACACTAAGGTGTTAAAAAAGTCCAGCAGTCTGACCCATTAGTACCAGAACACTCTAACACACCACCACCATGTCAGTGTCACTGCAGTGCTGAGAAGTGTGTAATAACAGTTTACAGTAAAAAGGTTCCACCACTTCTTAATTTTTAATGATAGGGCTCTGGCACAGTCTGCTCTGTAGAGATGTAAGCCAGAGAGTTGGAAAGTGTTGTCCAGATTCATTGGGCCAGGTTTGGACCAGAGAAGTACTGTGCAGCAGAGAGAGAAAACTGTGTCTGCTGTAGAGAGCAGCTGCTCTGCTGACTAAAATGTCCAAAATGCTGCTTGTGTATGAGAAATTAGGAGTAATGCCTGTTGCCATAAACTGCCTTATGTTCAATGTGTCTTCTGTGAGATACATTTTTGCTGTCCAAAAAATTAATATATAAATAAATAAACATTTCATGATGAATGGACCAATTGAAATGCTTCAAAATTGCTTGGAATATAACCTCTTTACATAAACTTTTAGGGGGATGTAGATTTGACATCTTTTTTATTTTTTATTTAACATAGATTTTTCTCTGCACCTTATTCTCACTACCTCATGCTCAGGCACCATGTGTCAGTGCTGCACTGTCCTGTCTGATTACTGTGTCTAATGTCTGTTTTAATTACCGTATTTATTGCATTGTTTCTAGTTTAATGTTTGCACACTTGTGTCTGCACATTTGCACTTTGTCTGTACTTTTTATTTTGTTCCATGTTGCACCATGGTCCTGGAGGAACGTAATTTCACTCCACTGTGTACTTGTACATAAATGGAATGACAATAAAAGCCTCTTGACTTGACTTGAATGGCAACAGTAAACTGGCACCTTTTGTTATTTCTTCTCAATAGACTTAATATTTAGTATAATTTGATGCCTCATAATTTGTAATAAGTAGCAGAAGCATAAAAATAGATATCAGACTTTGAACAGCTGCCAGGACAAGATGATTACAGGTTGTAATATCCTGGATTCTTTTGGACCCCATGTGGCATATCAAGGTTTTATATAGTTTTTTTATTATTATTTGTTTTATTTTGTTTTTTATTTTTGTTTTCTGTTTCCTGGACATAATGGGTGTATGTACAAACATATGAACAGGATACTCTAAAAACAATTAAAAGTAGAATTCTAGTGTGCATGCTAATGAATGTGTTCTCTCTGTAGGTTGAAGCACTGCACTATCACAGAAAAAGGCTGTGAAGCGCTGAGTTCAGCTTTGAAATCACATCCTTCACATCTGCGCAAGCTGAATCTATCCAAGAATAAATTAGGAAATGCAGGACTGAAGCAGCTCTCCGCTGCACTGGAGAATCCTCAATGTAAACTACAGGCACTGAAGTAAGATCTGTTATCTGCTCATATCACATTAGCTGATCAAGCTCAAGCCTAGTAGACCAGCAGAACTAATGGCCATTCATTTTTACTTTGAGAGCAGCATATTTCATGGGATTTTTCTCATCCATTTTGGAAATACTTTTCTTTTATAGCCTGTTGTATGGTAGGCTTAATTCACCAGTTAACCCAAGTGTGCATTGTGCTTGTTATCTTATTTACCACATTTTATTGGCTGCCAGCTGCCACGAGAATCAAGATTAACCAGTCAGAATTGTGCATTGTTCATGGGAAAGTAATCCAGAAGGATAAGCAGCTTAGAAAATGTGTGTGTGTGTGTGTAGTGAGTAAAACATTTATAACGATTAAAACCAACACTGTTGCCACTGCCACCAGAGTTAGATACTTAAGGTTGGGTGGATAGGCATGAAATACTGCATTGTTACAGAGACTCCTGCATCGACAATGCTGAGACGGTTTTCTGTAATTTAAACTAAACTTATTAGAACCTTAAAGAGCATTCTATCATGAGCAATACACAATTAGCCAGTTATGCATTACCATAATTAGACAGTTACATATTCAGACAGTTTGTGGTAGTCATTGTTATTATTTAGCTTTTAATTTCACAGTAAACCAGCTACCAAGATAAGGAGCCCTGAAAAAATTCTGCTTAGGCCCCCCAAAAGGCAAAAGCCAGCACTGTGTGGCAATCCATGCGTAAAATCCTTGATAAGCCCCTGGAAAATGGAAGGTCACTAACTCACCCTCAACTGTTACTTGGTAACAACTTAATTAGCCATTTCTGGTATTTAACTGTCTATCCACTGACTTTATACTATCAATCCAATGTCACAGAGCTGTTCCACAAGTATGTTCCAATAGTTTCTGAATGAGGTACACTGGTATAGTGTCATAAGTGTTATCAAAGTACATCATGTTGAAGATCAAATCAATTACATCTCAACAACTTTTCTACAGCAAGAAAGCTGACTGCCAATAATTTACCAAGCACGTTTTAGCAATATTTGATCTATTGATTATCAAATGAATGTCAGCTGATTCTAAACTTTGTGTATTTTTCACTGTGTAGCATAAACACTATATGGACTAAAGTATTGGGACACCTACACATTACACCTACAGGTGATTTCATGATATCCCATTCTAAATCTATAGGCATTAATATGGAGTAGGTCCCCCCTTTGCAGCTATAACAGCTTCCGCTCTTCTGGGAAATTTTCTACAAGATTTTGTGTCTTTGGGAATTTCTGCCCTTTCATCCAGAAGAACATTTGTAAGTCAGACACTGATGTTGGACAAGAGAGCCTGGTTCATAATCTCTGTTCTAGCTCATCCCAAAGGTATTCGGTGGGGTTGAGGTCAGGGCTCTGTGTGTGCCAGTCAAGTTCTTTCACACCAAACTCACCAAACCATGCCTTAATGGACCTTACTTTGTGCACTGGAACACAGTCATGCTGGAATAAAGTTGGAAGCATAGAGGTGTCCAAAATGTCTAGGTATTCTGAAGCATTAAGATTTCCCCTCACTGGAACTAAGGCGCCTAGGCCAAACCCTGTAAAACAACCCCATAGCATTATCCCTCCTCCACCAAACTTTACATTTGGTACAATAATTGGCAATTAAACAGGTAATATTCTCCTGCCATTCGCCAAACCCAGACTCATCCATCAGACTGCCAGATAGAGAAGTGTGATTAGTCACTCCTTAGAATACATTTGCACTGTGTTTCATGGCTAAGCTGTTGTTGCTCCTAGGTGCTTCTGTTTCACAATAATAGCACTTACAGTTGACAGAGGCAGATCTTGCAGGACAGAAATTTCACAAACTTGTGGCAGAGGTGGCATCCTACGTGCAAGTTGCTTTTATTACAAAACCAAAACTTAAGTCCAAGAAACAGAACAAAAAAGGTACACAAAAAGAAACAAATCCATAAAGTAACAAAAACAGAAACCAGGGAACAGAAACTAAGGAGCAGAGAGAAGATGCATCATCGCATAACACTGGGACTAACTGGGAAAAAAAGGCTTCATATTTGCATTTAAAGTCAGACATTGTGGAGTGAATCCTGAAAATCACATTTCTACATGAGTTTGACTATTTACCAGTCAGCCATTGTGGAGTGAATGCTAAAAATTACATTTCTGCATGTATTTGACTATTTACCAGCAGTAAATAGTTTCCGAAAGAGATACACTGGATAATTATCCTTCAGACACACTGAATAACAACAGAAATAGTAATCATTTTCTCATTATCTGAAAGAAATTTGACTACTCAAATTTGATGAAATTCCTTTCTTAAATATTACAACTTCTGTGATATGATATACATTGGTAGAACATTCACAAAGCTAATAATAAATCAATTAATAAAAAGGATACTGCAGGATATTGTCACTGTCTAAATAAAATGTTTTATCTAAAATGATAACTTTACAGGAGAGAGAAAAAAACATTATTACGTTGTAATGAAAATTAATATAAATTTATTTCTTTATTTGAGTTTGGGCACTTGTGTTCAAAATTTCTGTTACTGTGAATAGCTAAACGAATGAAATTGGACCTGATTAAAGATGACACATTCCTTTAACATTTTAAGCAACATTACTTTTTAATTCCATTTTTACAGTTTCAGAATAACAAATAAGTGCCCAAAGCAAGTTTGGGCACCCTGCGTGACTGGTACTTAGCAACATCCCCTTTGGCAAATACCACGGCTTATAAATGCTCTTTGCAGCCAGCTTTCAATTATTGCCCATTCTACCTTGCAAAAGGCTACTAGTTCTATGAGATTCTTGGGCCACCTTGGGCCAATCTATTCACAGGTTTTTGATGATGTTTAGGTCGGGGGACTGTGAGGGCCATGACAAAATCTTCAGCTGGTGCCTCTTGTCCATTGTGGATTTTGTGTTTAGGATAATCATTGTGTTGTAGGCGCCATTCTCTTTTTATCCTCAGGTACTGAAGGTGTGATGGTTGTCTTCAGAATTTGCTGGTATTCAAATGACTCCATTCTTCCCTCTACCAGTGAAATGTTCTCTGTGCCACTGGCTGCAACACAAACCCGAAGCATGATCGATTCACCCCTGTGCTTAACACTTGGAGAAGTGTTCTTTCAATGAAATTCTGCACCTTTTTTTGCCAAACGTACCTTTGCTCATTGCAGGCAAAACTTAAATTTTAACTTCATCATTTCACAGCATTTGTTTCCAAAATGCACCAGGCTTGTTTAAATATTCCTTTGCAAACCTCTGTTGCTGAATTTTGTGGTGAGGACACAGGAAAGGTGTTCTGAGATTTTGATTTGCCTTTTTTGCAGCAGTTCTCTCTGAAACGTTTCTTGGTCTTCAGACTTCATCTTGACCTCCACCATTCCCATTAACTACCATTTCTTAATTACATAACAAATTGTGGAAATGGCTACATGAAGACGCTTTGGTATCTTCTCATAGCCTTCTCCTTTGGTGGGTATCAATTATTTTAATTTTCACAGTGCTATTCAGCTGCTTTGAGGAGCCCATGGCTACTGATTGTTGGGAGAAGGTTTGATAAGTCAAAGTAAATATAAAACCTTAACATTTGCATCTCCTGGCCTTTCCAAAGCCTGACTGTGAGCAAGCCATAGTTCTAACAAGCTAATCAAAGTCTGAGACCTTAGTAAAAATCTCAAAGAGCTCACATCTCTTGAACTGAAAAGTAGTTAACACACCATGAGTCAAAACCAGAAAATACAACCAGATCAAAAACATAACAATCGGCAAAACAATCCAAAGGGTGAGGCAAAAGGGCAAATTCCAGAAGACAGTCCAAAAGGTAAAAAAAAACGGTGAGAGAACAAAAGGCAGACAATCTAAACGGTTAGGCAAAAGACAGAGTCGGGAAGAACAGGCAAAATGGTCATAAACAGAAAAGCAGATATACAATAGAATGCTCAGTAGGTCGAAAACGATACAATACTTCGCAACCTTTCTATGCTAAAGCCTGGGCTTATAAGCTAAACTAAAGATATCACATGACCTATGATACAGTTGAACCGAATTAGTATTCGGGAGAGTGAGAGCGCTGATTGGAGCGTGAAGGCAGTTCAGAGGTCGCAGGAGTCATGTGATCTCCCTGAGGATTCTGCAAGATGGAGTCCAAGTGAGAGTCAGAGCCTGAAGGATGCGTGACAGTAACCCCCCCAAAGATGCCCCAATGCCAGGACAACAGAGCTGCCGAGGTGCTGAACCGACGGGCTTCGTCCACGACAACCCTGCAGATGGACAGGAAGTGTACTAGGGAGCACTTTCCGTGGATGACCCCTAGGGAGAGGAGCAGGCTTGTCAGGGTGTGGACTGTGGAAATCTGCGATGAGACCAGGGTCCAGGATGTCTCGTGCTGACATCCAACACTGCTCCTCCGGGCCGTATCCCTCCCAGTCCACCAAGTACTGGAGGTTACCTCCTTGTCTCCAGGAGTCCAGCAGCCTGCAGACAGCGTAGACTGGTGTTCAAGTTTCAAGTTTCTTTGTCATTTGCACAACAGCTTAGGTAATCACTGTACAGAAAGTAAATAAATAAAAGTAAAATATAAAAAACAAACTGAAATATAGAGAAAATATACACAAATATAGAGAAATATATACAAAATATAGAGGCAATATACATTTTAAAGTAACTTAAGTGACTGTGTTATTGTTCTTTAAAGTGGCTTAGTGTTAAGGTTAAGGTGTTATTGTCCATAGCAGAGATGATATGATACAGTAATAATGCTGAGAAAGTGACTGAGTGAAATGATAGTTGGGGAAGGACCCACAGCTTCACAGCTTGTTCAGAAGCCTGAGAGCCTGTGGGTAGAAACTGGGTTGTTCTAGCCTTTATGTTATGAAATCTCCTGCCTGATGGCAGGATGGTGAACAGGCTGTGTGCTGGGTGACTGCTGTCTGACCGGATCTTTTTGATTTTCCTGAGGCAGCGGGACTGGTAGATGTCCTGTAAGGCTGGTAGTTTGTTACCTATGATGGCTTCTGCCGTCCTCACCACTCATTTTAGGGCCTTGCAGTCACAGGCAATGTAGCTGCTGTACCAGGCAGTGATGCAGCCCATGAGGATGCTCTCTATGGTGCATCTGTAGAAGTTGGTGAGGATCTGAGGAGGCAGACCAAACTTCCCGAGCCTACGCAGAAAAAAGAGACGCTGACGGGCAGATCTCATGATAGTGTTGGTGTGGAGGGACCAGGTGAGGTCATCAGTGAGTAGTATGCCGAGGAACTTCACACTGCTGACTCTCTCCACTTCGGCTCCATTGATGAACAGAGGAGAGTGACCGCCCCTCTGCTGCTTCCTGTAGTCCCCGATCATCTCCTTTGTTTTGCTGATGTTGAGACAGAGATTGCTGTCATGACACCACTCTGACAGCGCTGACCTCGTCTCTGTAGGCTGTTTCATCTCCATCAGTGATGAGGCCTAGGATGGTAGTAAGTAAGTAAGTAGGTCAAGTTTATTTATATAGCGCTTTTTACAACAGGTGTTGTCACAAAGCAGCTTTACAAGGAAATCAGCATTACAGAAAGAAATCCGGGTCCAAGCCCCCATGAGCAAGCCAGTGGCAACAGTGGCAAGGAAAAACTCCCTAGGAAACAGGAAGAAACCTTGAGAGGAACCCAGACTCAGAAAGGGGAACCCATCCTCCTCTGGTCGACACCAGATAGTAAACATTGTTAGTACAAAAACAGGGAAAACAGGTAGAGCAATGATTAATTTGATTAGTTTAGTTCATGCAGCAGCAGTGGCAGCAACAGCTATTCAACTCGGCAAAGGAAAGAAAGAAAGGAAAAACACACAGAGAGTCAGTTCTGTAAAGGGTGACTGATTACAGATTAAAGTGTTAGCAGAGCAGCAGAGACTCTGGCAGGTATAGAACTGACAGGGAAAACTGATTACCAAAGGCTTGACTATACAAGTAAGTTTTTAGCCTAGACTTAAAGACTGAGGCTGTGTCTGAGTCCCGAACATTAACAGGAAGATTATTCCAAAGCTGGGGGGCTTTGTAGGAGAAAGCTCTCCCCCCTGATGTAACTTTATTAATTCTAGGTACTAATAGTAAGCCAGCACCAGGTTCATAGTGAGAGAGAAGTTCACTCAGGTACTGAGGGGCGAGTCCGTTTAGAGCTTTATAAGTCAGTAAGAGAATGTTATAATCAATGCGAAATTTAACTGGTAACCAGTGTAAGGTTGATACAACTGGGCTGATATGGTCAAACTTTCGCGTTCTAGTAAGAACTCTGGCTGCAGCATTCTGGACTAGCTGAAGCTTGTTAAGGCTTTTGCTGGGACATCCAGATAGCAGGGCATTACAGTAATCTAGCCTTGAAGTAATAAATGCATGAACTAATTTTTCTGCATCCTGTAGAGATAATGCATTTCTCAATTTAGCAATTTTGCGGAGATGCAGGAAGGCTGTTCTAGTAATATTAGTTATGTGTGCGTCTAAGGACAGATCAGGGTCTATAATGACACCAAGGCTTTTTACAGATGAGCTTGATGCAACTGAGAAATTGTTAAGTTTAAGTGTTGAATTAGACAGTCTGTTTCTAGCCGCTTTTGGACCAAGAAGTAGAACCTCTGTTTTATCGGAGTTAAGAAGGAGAAAGTTACTCGACATCCAGTCTTTTATGTCTTTTATACAGTCTTCAATATTGCTAAGTTTAAATTTATCATCCAGTTTGCTTGCTAAGTATAACTGAGTGTCTTCGGCATAGCAGTGGAAATTTATGCCATGTTGATAATGGTGCCCAGTGGTAGCATATATAATGTGAATAATACAGGTCCTAAAACACCTTGTGGACCACCATACTTCACTTTTGCGAGGGCAGATGATTCACCGTTTATATTAACAAACTGATAGCGATCAATGAGGTAGGTCCTGAACCAGGAAAGAGCTGTTTTTACTAGTGCTGTCTCTGTACTATGATGTGGCCTAAAGCCAAAGTGAGAGTCAGAGCCTAAGGGATGCGTGACAAAACTTCTTTCATGAGAGTTACACCAAATTATACTAACTATTCTAGGAGGTTTACAGCAGGCTTACCACCATGCCAACTTTGAAAGGAAAGCAGAGAAAAGCATTAGATATTAGACTGAGAGGCTTTTTAAAAGATCTAGTCTGCATTGTCTCATCAAAACTTTTGATGAGAGAGGGTCAGATTGTGTTCAGAGTAGGATCAGCCAAAGAGTTGTAACCAGAAGCACCAACTTGGAAGTGACCCCTAATTCTCAACTCAAAGGGGAATTTAAGGTGCTTCAACTTTTATGGTGTTTAGGCATGGGAAGTCTTCCAGTACCTGTCACATGTTCCTTATTGTTGATTCATTCTCCTACCGTATGGGCAGTGCTGGAGTGACAGAGTTTATATCATGCCTAAATTATGCTAGCATGTCACAGAACCTCCAAATGTTTTAGGCATGCTTGTACATTTAATTTGAGATTAAACTTCATAGGAACTGTGTATTTCACATACAAGGAAAAAGAAAAACAGAAAAAGAGTGAATTATACATCTATTCAGGTGTATACAAACAATCTGGACATTCATAACACCATGTGATGAATCACATGATGTTATGAATGTCCTGGGAAATTCCTGTTTTCATGTTGTTGATAGAAGATTAGCATTTTTGAAATTAAAATGTTTACAGATCATTTCTTTCATTGAAAGTTGTGTGCCTGCATTTGACTTCCTTTGTCATAAATCTCTTCAAAGGTCAAAAGAGGCATCACACACTCTGGGAAGGGTCTTCTTTAAGAGGTGCTCTGTTCAGAAACATTGTTTTATATTGCACTGTCATTGTTCTTGACAATAGAGGTAAACTCACCATGTTTTGGAGTGCTTTTAATAAGTTGAGCCAGGTTACCAAGGCCAGTGAGCTGTGGCTAGACATCTTATAGCTGTCATCCCTATAAAAGCATCTCATACAGTATCCAAGTACTTTTTTGCTTTTATTTTTATTGGTCCTTGCCATTTCCATCAAGCACTTTTTATTCAGTATGTCCAAACTTGCATGAAAAGTGTGAAACAGAAGCTAGCTACTGTTTTCTTTGCAGGATGAATAGGTGTGATGTCAAAGAAGAAGATTGTGAAGCGCTGGCTTCAGCTCTGAAGTCAAATCCATCACACTTGAGAGTGCTGGATCTATCTAGGAATGGACTAGGAGACTCAGGAATGAAACAACTCTCTGCTGAACTGAAGAATCCTCACTGTAAACTGAAGATATTGAGGTAATCAACAGTTATGGATAAAATTATCAAAAAATGTTTTACTGGCAAATTTTAAGTGAATTTCTTGTTGGTATAAGAAAATGTGAAAACACCGTTATGTGTGAATTCCCATAGATGATGTGCCTTGCTCACCGTATGTGGCAGATTCGATGGAAGGATTTGAACCTAAGAATGTAGTGTCTATGATCAAGAAATTCCTGTTAAACTGGGATGGGTTTCCCAAAAGCATCCACTCTCTCCAACTAATTAAATGATCTTAATACTAAGATGCTTTTGAGAAAATGGGTCCTTGTCTGTGTGTTGTTTTGAACTGAGAGAGTAAAGAGTGTCATTGCTCTCTCTGCAGGTTGAGAACTTGTAACATCACATATGAGGGCTGTGCTGCTCTGGCTTCAGCTCTGAAATTAAACCCCTCACACCTGAGAGAGCTGGATCTGTCTGTGAATAAACTAGGAGACTCAGGAATGAAACTACTCTCTGCTGAACTGAAGATTCCTCACTGTAAGCTGAAGATATTGAGGTAATCAATAGTTATGGATAAAACTATCAAAAATGTTTTATAGGAACATTTTACAGGTTTACACTGGTGATGCATCTAATATGGCACATAACCATCTCAATCTCCAATTTTAGAATGCACCAAATGTGGACAGTAAAATAATATCTTTACCATATACTAAAATAATTGCATATTCAAGGACGTAAATTAAGTGCAACCTTTAATTATTTAATTATGTCTGCCTAGGTACCTTTATAAACTGTGATGAAAATTAAAATAAATTTTTACTTACGCAATACAGAAAAAAGTTTCTGCCACAGATACAGTCTGGCACTAACTGAATTAAAAATGTTGCTGCATGTAAACATACTTCAACGTGTAAGCTTTACAATTCTGCTTAAAACCAACGTAGGAGTTGTGGGTAATTATTACTATTAATACCTATATATTAATAAGTTCTAATAAGTGGGGCATCTGTCCAACAGCACTAAATAATGTCTCATGTCAAATGAGGTACACTTGATTGTACCTTATAGAGACTTATAATAACAATAGAAAAAGTAATAATTTGCTAATTATTTGAAGGAAATCAGGTTACTCAAATTTTGTGGAGTTCTTTTATAAGCTCTTAGGCCTTCTGTGATACAAGATACACACATGGATAAAACATTAGAGTTTAATAATAAGGTCATATGAGAACATTTAAAGTCCAAGCATGATGAATAAAAACCAAAAGTAGGACTAATTAACTCCTTACATGGCAAACATCAATGATAAGCTTATCTACAGTTTACATCAAATTAGATACTAGAGTGTTTGAAGCCTCTTGAGACTTAGCACAAGGCCATATTGGAAGAGAAACAGAGAGAAGTGTATATATTTACACTCAAAAGTGTGTTGCTGGGTTCCTGATTTAGGCCCATCTTGCAGCTTTCATCAGTCATCCATCTTTCGGTACTCACTAAAAACAGAAAGAGGTATCATTTCAGAAGTTTGTAGTAAGAAATTTATTATTAAAACAAAGCAAGGCAAGTTTTTTGTATAGCAGAGTTACAACTGACTCTTCTAACTGATTGTCAAGTTGCATATCCTTGCTGTCTGAACTAAACCTAGTATCACCAAAATGGTCATTTTACAGAAGAAAAATTATTCTTAACTTGTAATGAGAGACAGTGTAACAAAATGTTTTTCCAAGTACTTTTTGGCAATTTCTATTGATGCGATCATCATGGAACTTGAACAGAATGGAAAAGGTAACTGTTTTTTTTAAATTATGGAAATACCTAAAGTGAGTATACAAGGTTTCTGCATGACAGTTCTATACTCTTAGTAACATTTCACTTTAAGGAACACATATTAAAGTTTATTAAGGTCTTGTTTTATGTGTAATAAATCATATATTAGACATTTCTACATGGTTTATTCACTATGGCTTGGTCTTTGTTCATTATGATCTGTATTAATATGGAAGTTCAAGTATGTTGAGAAACACTAAACTCTATGACCTTGTTTTGAGTTTTGAAGTCCATTGGCACTATCTACACTCTCCCTCTCTCCCCCTCTCTCTTTCTATACATATACACACATATATATATGTGTGTGTGTGTGTGTGTATATGTGTATATATATATATATATATATATATATATATATATATATATATATATATAGAGAGAGAGAGAGAGAGAGAGGGAGAGTGAGGGAGAGTCTAAATAGTGCCAATGGACTTTAATAAGTCATTTGCTAGTTTTACGTTAAAAATTTAGCAAATTTTAAGTGAATTTCTTGTTGGAATAAGAAAATGTGAAAACACTGTTCCCATAGATCATGTGTCTTGCTCACTGTATGTGGCAGATTCAATGGAAGGATTTAAACTTAAGAATGTAGTGTCTATGATCAAGAAATTCCTGTTAAACTGGGATGGGTTTCCCCAAAGCATCCACTCTCTCCAACTAATTAAATGATCTTAATACTAAGATGCTTTTGAGAAAATGGGTCCTTGTTTGTGTGTTGTTTTGAACTGAGAGAGTAAAGAGTGTCATTGTTCTCTCTGCAGGTTGAGAACTTGTAACATCACATATGAGGGCTGTGCTGCTCTGGCTTCAGCTCTGAAATTAAACCCCTCACACCTGAGAGAGCTGGATCTGTCTATGAATAAACTAGGAGACTCAGGAATGAAACTACTCTCTGCTGAACTGAAGATTCCTCACTGTAAGCTGAAGATATTGAGGTAATCAATAGTTATGGATAAAACTATCAAAAATGTTTTATAGGAACATTTTACAGGTTTACACTGGTGATGCATCTAATATGGCACATAACCATCTCAATCTCCAATTTTAGAATGCACCAAATGTGGACAGTAAAATAATATCTTTACCATATACTAAAATAATTGCATATTCAAGGACGTAAATTAAGTGCAACCTTTAATTATTTAATTATGTCTGCCTAGGTACCTTTATAAACTGTGATGAAAATTAAAATAAATTTTTACTTACGCAATACAGAAAAAAGTTTCTGCCACAGATACAGTCTGGCACTAACTGAATTAAAAATGTTGCTGCATGTAAACATACTTCAACGTGTAAGCTTTACAATTCTGCTTAAAACCAACATAGGAGTTGTGGGTAATTATTACTATTAATACCTATATATTAATAAGTTCTAATAAGTGGAGCATCTGTCCAACAGCATTAAATAATGCCTCCAATTGAGGTACACTTGATTGTACCTTATAGAGACTTATAATAACAATAGAAAAAGTAATAATTTGTTGTTATTGAGTTCTTTTATAAGCTCTTAGGCCTTCTGTGATACAAGATACACACATGGATAAAACATTCACAGAGTTTAATAATAAGGTCATATGAGAACATTTAAAGTCCAAGCATGATGAATAAAAGCCAAAAGTAGGACTAATTAACATCAATGATAATCTTATCTACAGTTTACATTAATCCCTCAATTCTAACAATTGTTTATTTCTTAGAAGGCTGTTATGATTGACAAAGTATTCTTGTTATAAACACTGTATTGATGAATTACTTTTTTGAATGTTTCAGTAGTGTTCTGTAAAAAGATCTAACAAACATTTATAATAATTTATAATAAAATGGCTCACAAAACGTCATCTGATTATTAATTAGGGTGCATTTAATCATCTTACATTAGGATTGCAGAACATGAACAGTTATTTTATGTCAATTTCAATTCCACTGTCCCTGTTTTGTAATTTTGTAATCTGTGATTGGCCACACTGATGTATAAATGTTGGTTTCAACAAAAAAACAACTCTTTACAGCATGTGCTTCCTTTCTCTGTCAGCACAGGAGACCAGTTTCTGCACAGACCCCATTCCTTTTGCAAATCTTGCAGTTTTTATTTAAGATAAGATCATTCTTTATTAGTCCCACAATGGGGAAAATTCACATTTTATTTGACGATCTAAATGATGATAGCAAATGTTGCTGTCATGAGTGTTTTCTAATTGGATTTTGTCCTGATCAGGTTTAAACCAAAAAGGCTAGACAGCAGGTAGGTTTAATTAATAATAATTGTTATGACCCCTGGTCATAATGTTTGTAACGTGTGTTGGTTACTGTCTGTTGCTTTGTGTTTTTTTCTCTTTTTGTGTGTATCTTGTATTATGTACAGGTCTCTGATTGGCCACACAGGGGCACCCTCCTGTATATAAGAGTTCACTGAGCCACTACCACAGTTCAGAGCTCCCTAGAAGTATACAGCCCAACACTCTCCACACTGTTCTTTTGTGTTGCTTCAATACTCTTATTAATTTTGTAAAAGCCTTATTAGATTCTGATAGCTGGTTTTTATAACACTTAGTTGTTTTGTTTGTAATTTTGGCACATGCTCATCCCTGAAGCTACCATCCCATAACCACCACCTTACCATAGAGACTTCTAAGAAAATCTAAATAAACATGACCTGTTCAAAGGCTCAAAAAGTGTCTGCTGTATGGTCTGGCAACAGATCTGGGGAGAGAGCCCGCTGTCATTCTTTGTCACAGCCTGTTACTAGACCATTTCACTGGTTTGTTTGAGGAATTTGGTATGGCCTTTGAATGTGTGTGTGTGTGTGTGTGTGTGTGTGTGTGTGTGTGTGTGAGTGAGAGAGAGAGAGAGAGAGAGAGAGAGAGAGATATCCTTGACAAGCCCCCAATTCTGTTATGACTGGGTCTAATCTAATAAAGCATTCACAAAATAAACAAGAGGGTTCCTAAGCAATACCTTCGTATTCCTTACACACTAATCACATAGTGTGGACATTACACGTCACATTTTTATTTTGACAGACATGCAATCTTTGATGGCTCCTTTGCCAGGAAACGTAGCTAATCAACTTCTGAACAGTAGCCATGTAGCATGTTGTGTAGGTAGTATGGTTATAAATGTGATTTGATGGATATACACTATATTGCCAAAAGTATTCACTTGCTCATCCAAATCATTGAATTCAGGTGTTCCAAACATTTCCATGGCCATAGGTGTATAAAACCAAGCATCTAGGCATGCAGACCACTTTTACAAACATTTGTGAAAGAATGGGTCGCTCTCAGGAGCTCAGTGCATTCCAGCGTGGTACCGTAATAGGATGCCACCTGTACAAGTCCAGTCGTGAAATTTTCTCGCTACTAAATATTCCGCAGTCAACTGTCATTGGTATTATAACAAAGTGGAAGCAATTGGGAATGACAGCAACTCAGCCACAAAGTGGCAGGCAGGTAAAATTACAGAGCAGTGTCAGCGGATGCTGAGGCGCATAGTGCGCAGAGGTCGCCAAATTTCTGCAGAGTCAATTGCTACAGACCTCCAAACTTCATGTGGCCTTCAGATTAACCGTGCATAGAGAGCTTAATGGAATGGATTTCCATGGCCAAGCAGCTGCATTCAAGCCTTACATCACCAAGCACAATGCAAAATGTCGAATGCAGTGGTGTAAAGTGCCACCACTGGACTCTAGAGCAGTGGAGACGTGTTCTTTGGAGTGACGAATCACGCTTCTCCATCTGGCAAACCGATAGACGAGTCTGGGTTTGGCGGTTGCCAGGAGAATGGTACTTGTCTGACTGCATTGTGCCAAGTGTAAAGTTTGGTGGAGGGGGGATTATGGTGTGGGGTTGTTTTTCAGGAGTTGGGCTCGGCCCCTTAGTTCCAGTGAAAGGAACTCTTAATGCTTCAGCAGACCAAGAGATTTTGACAATTTCATGCTCTCAACTTTGTGGGAACAGTTTGGGGATGGCCCCTTCCTATTCCAACATGACTGTGCACCAGTGCACAAAGCAAGGCCCATAAAGACATGGATGAGCAAGTTTGGTGTGGAAGAACTTGACTGGCATGCACAGAGTCCTGACCTCAACACGATAGAACACCTTTGGGATGAATTAGAGCGGAGACTGCGAGCCAGGCCTTCTCATCCAACATCAGTGTCTGACCACAAATGCACTTCTGAAAGAATGGTCAAAAATTCTCATAAACACACTCCTAAACCTTGTGGAAAGCCTTCCCAGAAGAGTGGAAGTTGTTGTAGCTGCAAAGTGTGTGCCAACATCATAAAAAGCCTAAACATCATAAACCCTATGGATTAAGAATGGGATGTTACTAAAGTTCATATGCGTCTGAAGGCAGACGAGTGAATACTTTTGGCACTATAGTGTATGTTTGGTGTTTAAATCATGTTGTATTGCTCATGATGATAAAAAAAATGAATCTATATCTCAGGCTGCTGTAGCCTGACAAGGCCATTTACCATAAAATACAGCTACTTAAATTAATCTCAGGTCAGGGTTTCTCCCATGGACAGAGAACCATTGAACAATTGTGATTATTACACTTACAGAACCACCAATGATGACTTTAATATAGGGAAATTTTTTGATAAAGGTATATAAGAACTAAAGGATAAATTACAAAAGGTATGTAAATATTAAATGAAAGAGTATGCAAAAGAAACATAAATATGAAATTTACTGGATAAACATAGCTAAGTAGCTGAGACTCAAAACTGTTATTATGTGGCGGATGAGCAGTCCATAGAATGGAAAACAAATGATAGCGCAATGAATATCCTAAGTTTACATTGAAAAGAGAGATAGAGTGAAATACTGAGACTGAGCCATATGAAGAAGTGAAAGTGTCAATTTCGAAGTTAGTATAAATCAAAACTACCATTTCTAAACAATGCTTAAGTGAAAAAGAAGTTACAAAGTGGAATGTTGAATACATGATCTTAATATCCTGTAGATATTTATGGATAGTAAAATTTCTGCCATAAAGTATATATATATAGTCACAGAAGCTACAAACTTTATAATTCTACTTCTAAAACCTACATGATGACTTGAAAGAAAAGCAGATATATAAGATTAGAACCATGATTTAAAGGAACATATGGATTTCCTATTTCTAAAAAAATAATAATGAAATGAAAAACAGTTTAATGAAACTGAGTTACAATTTAAGAATCATAAAATAACTATTAAGCATAGGGAGTTTATCAATTCACCTTTGACAAGTACTAATTAATTAATTTCTAACAGTGTAGCCTTTTAACAGTCACAGAGGTGTTTTCCACAGTTTGATGAAGGAAAGCCATATGGTTTAGCATTTGATTAAAGATTGATGTTTCACATAGTTCACCAGAAAACAACAGAAAAAAGTCTCATCAGAGTGTTTAAAAAAAGGGATTTTGTGAGTTGACCCATTAACATTGTAACTCAGGGTCATCTGGTCATCTTGTCTATGAGGCCAGATGCCTCCCTTTCACACAGCGACAGTGTGAAGAAGGTGAGATGTGTTTGTGCAGATGAGATGGTTGGGGGGAAATGTCACTAGGACCTCAGATAAGCCCCAGGTATTATATTTAGAAGTGGTTATGTGTATTATAGAAAAGTATTCACTTCCAGCATTGTCATACTTTGTTTACTCAACTGACATCAGCTTTGTATATTTTCTCTATATGTTTTAAAGTTTCTTCTGCTTGTTTCGGACAGACCTGAACTGATTTTTGTGTTCTGAACTGAGAGAGTGAAGAGTGTGTCATTGTTTTCTTTGCAGGTTGAGTTGGTGTGATATCACAGATGAGGGCTGTGCTGCTTTAGCTTCAGCTCTTAATTCAAACCCATCACATCTAACAGAGCTGGATCTTACTAAAAACAGTGGTATACTGAATGGAGGAGGCCTGGTTCCTCTTAAGGCTGATCCACATTACAAGCTACAAAAACTAAGGTAAGAAAGATTAACTATAACATATCATTATACTCAATGGTTTTGTTTTATGCAGAGATATTGTTACATTTACCTTATTGTCAAAAAGTGCTAAATTATTTCAGAAAGATCGCCTGAGTGCAAAGGAATTAACTACACTCACCATGCACTGTCCTGCAAATTGGTGTAACACTGTATTAAGATTAAGATTAAATGACCCTTATTAGTCCCACAACAGGGATTTTTCACCTCCACATTTAACCCGTCTGTGCAGTGAAACACCACATACACACTAGTAAACACACACACTGGGGGGCAGTGAGCACACTTGCCCGGAGCAGTGGGCAGCCCTATCCGCAGTGCCCGAGGAGCAGTTGGGGGTTATGTGCCTTGCTCAAGGGCACTTCAGTCAAGTACTTTCGGCTCAGGTGATCGAACCAGCAACCTTCCGACCTTCCCTAACCAGCCCATAACTGCCCCCAATGAAAAGTGTTTGTATAACACATTTCTTGTATAAACTTGTATATAACATATTAATAAATGCCTCAGTCATCATTAATGAAGTATTCTTATTTTACATGACATTAATATTGAATACTGATTCACTCCTATATTATTTCCAATAAAACTAGTCAAAACTCACCTGGCTTTGCCATTTCTTCTAAGTGTAAGTGATTCAAGTCAAGTTTACCTAGCTGAAATTCAAAGTAGTCTATATTTCTGTTCATGCACTGTTCATGCAGTGCAAAAAAATGATAGTTTTAACTTAAAAACATAAATAACCAGCCTATAATTGCAAATTCATTGAACTAATAATAACAATTTCAGAACAATAATCTGTATTTTCAGTGGTTCAAAAGTTCAATAAAATACATTTACTACAAGGTAGACAGTTTGTTAAGTTAAAACAATTATGTTTTGAAAAATGTTTTTTAGTTTGTTTATATTTATTTCTTTTGTTAGAATATGTGGTATTTCAGTATGTAAAGGGATTATAAAATCATTATTTAAAAGTCAAGTCACCATATTTGTGCAAGGCTGTCTACAGTGAATCCAAATGATTATTCAAAGCAGTCCCAGAATTATTACGCGAAGTGGAGGCAAATCATAACAATCAATAACCTACTTACTATATATATATAAAATACTAAACATAAATATTTACTTTTGACTCCATCATGCAGTTGTTGACACTTGACAGTATTAATGATTATTTGAAATGTGTCTGTGGCAGAGTGTAGCTAATGGCAGATGAGGAAAAAGTTACCTGTTTCAAAAGCTGTTTATAGTCTGAAATTATTAGAAAGAATTACATTATTTGTTTTGTCAGCAATCCTGTAGAACCATTTAACCAGCATTGATTGATTGATCTATTTATTTATTTATTTAAGAAATCTGCAGGAGTTTTGTAGACATTTAACTGATGACATGTCGTTGTCCCAGAGCTTGAATATGAATGACAATCATCTGTGCTTGATTAAATGTATTTCTTGTTTCTTTTTTCTTTCAGATATGATGAAGTATCCCTTATTTACTTTTGAAGGATCTAAAGCCTTCAATGGACATCTGAATGCTTGGTACAGTACATTTTATGAGAAGAAAAACTCCTAAACATACAATAAAGACCAGAGGAGATAAAAGACCAACAAAAGACATAACAGCATTTTGTCTCATTTCTTTGGAAGAATGCCCTGACCACAGTTTACCTACATGACACCCACATTTTTCCCTTTGCTTATGTCTACAGCTGTTGCTCTCAAAACAAACAAGTACATAGCTTGTTTCACAGAAAACTGACACACCACAGCATGACTCAGTTCCTTACTGCACCAGCACTCCTAACCATGACAGTCTTTCAGTTCAAATCTTACTGACATATGTCTCCCTACTGCACCACCAGTGCTAATAATGAAAGCAGGAGCAACTAGTAGCTAAAAGCGAAACAAGTGTTCATTCAACTTGATTACACTAATTGGACCATATGCAGTGTGTAAGTCTGTAAATGTGCTGTGTCAGAGCTGTACGACACTATGCGTAAGAGCTGAAACCAGGCTGTACACTTATATAAACACAGAGCTCAGAAATAACTGATGAACCCTAGTGGCGAAGTGATTCATTTGCTTTCTTGACGCATTGTTCATAATTTCTCCTAATGCAACTGCATCCATTATAAAAGAAAAAAATTAATTGTTTTCATTGGTCAAAAATACATTTTTAAATGTTATGTTTTGAACAAATCAAATCAGTCTTTTCACAAAATTGTTTTAAGGTCTCTTAGTGATTACTAAACTTTTAGCAAGAAATTTATAATGTTCTGGTAAATAAAAACATATCATTTGTATCCAAGCTTAGAAATGTTATATAGTGGTATAAATGTATTTGCATGATGTATTATTTACGTTTCCTGTGAATTAGTTATTAACTGTTTGTGGACTATTATGTTATTTGTAATGTTTTAGTTGAAATCATGTTTGAAATGTCTTTGTGATATGTTAGTCAAGGAATATAAACAGGTAATTATCTGACTTCACAATGACCAACTGTGAGATGTACTCAAACAAGTAATGTTTTATAAACATGTTTGCATGTCCTGTCATAAACAAATGACAACTAATTTTACAATGGTTTGTAGACCACTGTGTTTGAAAATGTAAAAATACATTTGTTTTCGTACCACTTGGAAGTGTTTTTAATTACAAGTCAAATGAGCTATAGAAGGTGTTAATATAACTTGTTTAGTATACCATTTGTATGATCCATATGATGGTCAAAGGAGAAGCTTACAAGTCTACAAATTACTCAAAATATTGTGCAAATGCATTTAAAAGATCTTTATTAATGAATTTGCAAGACCAACTAAAGTGGAACTTGTTTATTCTTAATAACCACTGCCGTAAATGTATTATTTTCTTACATATAATATTTTCAGATCATAAATTATGAAATATGCACATGAGCTCCCAGACTTTACAGCAAAATAAAGTTAAATATTGTAATTTAAGAAAACGTTTTAAGTTGCTGTAAAATTACACTATCCAAAATAAGCTAATGCTTAATTCATTGTTAAGAGATAGACCTTAAAATAAACTGATATGCAAACTTAAATTGATATTTCTGCACATTTTGATGCATTATTATGATTTATTTACTGAATTTAGCATATTGTAAAAAAATAAATATAGATGGTGTCATATGCATAGGTTTAGACACCTTTTCAGATGCTCCACTAGTGTTATTTTTTTCAGATCTTATTTGACTCATCAGGCTATAATCCAAGTCAGGTGTAAACAATTACAAAGTTTTAAAAATTCCTAAGGATCTGAAACGAAAGATATTTGACTCTTACAAAGCAAGAGAAAACTAAATGATACAGAAGGAAAATATTTTGTGTATCACAATGGTGTAATGCTTAGAAAGAATTTAATTTCCCCAACGCTACTCTCCTCACATTTGGTTATTCAATAGGGTCTGCTGCTCTCTCTCCCCCTGCCAGTGTCCTCAACATCTGACATCATGTTTATTTTAACAATAAAGCACACACGTGCACACATACACACACACACACACACACACCTTAGGGTAAGTTTCTAGGTAACGTTACCTGGGTAACACTTTCTATGAATGTCACCTTTGTAAGCGTCTATAAACGCATTCATGACATGTTATAATGCATGCATAAGACATTATAAACATAGCTATAAATATTTATAAAAATGCATTATACATTATAGCCATGTTTATTATGCATTATCAATTGTTAACATAATACAATACTGATCATAACAAATTATAAGAGCTCATAAGTTGTATTTGTCCGCTCTAAGTAAAGTGAAGTGTACTGTACTAAAGCCTCCTCCAGTGTTAAGAGTGAGGCTTCAAGTTGAAGTATTTACTGAAGAATTTACTGAAACAGTAAAACATACACAATAAAGCACATTACAGGCTTCAAATGTCAGATTTTAAACTAGTGCTGGCATCAGTGTTTTACCCAATGTGGGAAGGTCAATGTACACCACCGTTAGCTTGGTATTTGTTTTTACTTTACGCTCTCCAAGCTGGGACTGACTTCTTTCACACTGACATTATAACATGTTATTAACACTATTTATAATGCATTATATTAACAATTCATTATGTATAATAAACATGGCTATGAAGTGTAATTCAGTGTAATTCTTTTTTATAAATATTTATAACCATGTTTATAATGCCTTATGAATACATTATAACATGTTATAAATGTGTTTATAGATGCTTACAAAGGTGACATTCATAGAAAGTGTTACCGAAATGTCTTTGTAAATGTATTAGGACCTGTGACTTTATTTTTAAAGAATTAAACATTTTTTTTGTAATTACAAACAAACATTAATCAATAAACTGCCAAATGTTATTGATGACCTATATTAGAAACAAAATAATACAAATTTGAATCAATAATTTTAATAATGAACCTGTATCCTTAAAAAGAATAGCACATCTCTGACAGAACACCATTTCAGCCCAACTGGTAAATAAATGCTAATATTTAAACACACACACACAAACAAACATAGTTTGCATACAATGATTCAAAAATATAGAACTTTATGTTAAAAATACTATCATGAGTTTTAGAGTTTTTAAGTATTTACTTCTAAGCAACTGGAAGTAACATATCTAAATTTTGAGCAAAGCTGTCATATAGGTAATTTACATAAGTGTTAATCTCTATATTTTGTGAAGTGTTTATTTCCAAGACCACCAATAAACCAGTCTTCTTAGTTACTTTCCCATGTTTTCAGGACAGCCGCTTCACATTCACACAAATATCTCAAATTGACAAAATTATATTGTAACAGTTCTATTGTGTATGCTGTAACAAAGAAGATGTGGGTTTATTTATGAGATTTCCAGTATTTTAAGCACTCCAATTTTTAAAATAATACACAATGAAAGTGCAAGTGGGTATAAGTTGGGCTTATTAGGAGCTTTTTTACTGCAGATGCTAGTTTACTCTACTTGCACATAAATTAACCGTTAAATATGTAAAGTGATGTTCTACATTAATAACTGGAGTCTGAAGATGTTATTCTTGAAGAAATGTGGCAGTTGTGTTGCACAACAGAGCACATGCAATGAGAACAGAAGAATTTCTGAACACCATCCAGTCTGCAGCACCATTTAAAAAAAATCATCACCAGAACACCTTCATCTAGCTCACTCAATCTTTAGATCATCTCAAAGTCAGAAAATTTGTACAGGACTGTTTGTGAGCCATTAACAAAATCCAACAGATACAGTAAAGTTAATTAGTAGTGTGAAATTTACCTGCTAATAATGTGTTAACTTTTTTAACACCGTTAATAAATTTCATATTTCCAGCAACTGCAGTTCTGTGTATTTATCACTGAACATAAAATCTGAAATATTATTTACAAGCAAAACACACTTCTGACACCAGTAATAACAGTAATTCAGCAGACTTTGTAGGACAGAGTTTACAGGAGACCTGTGGATAAATAAGTGTGCAGCAAAACAAAAATGAGAGCAAAATCAAAAACTACAGTTTTCCAACTACAGCCTCCATTGTAACACCCACAAGATTAAGAGTGATGTGTAATGAAGCTTTTGCTGGCCCGTTGATTTGTGTGTTCTGAACTGAGAGAGTGAAGAGTGTCATTGTTCTCTCGGTAGGTTGTATAACTGTAATTTCACTGAATTCTGTATGCATACTCATAAGTACACTAGCAAAGAAACATAGTCCATTGGCTATCATAGCTATGAACAAAAGGTAACCAGGACACAACACCATGGACAAATAAATATTACAAAGGCACTCAACTGCACAAATTTTCTGTGAAATTTTACATTAATCAAACTATGGGTGTTGTATTATTTCAGTTATCTCACCTGGAAAATGGTGTATATAATACTTTTAATGAGCATTGCTTAGAAGAGCCTTGCTTTCTTTACAAGTACTTGCACATCTGTAATTCAAGCAACAGGGTCCACTAGCAACACTTAGTGATGGAACTTTGTACACCACATTTCCATTCACTTAGATGCTGAGGTATTTCTTCATCTTATGAGAGGTATCTTTTTTTACTATTAATTTCTCTCCTTTTTAATGACTTTTAGAAGTTATGCTCTTTTGCATTCTGTAACTTTTTTCAAAAACCTGTGTTCTAAACTGAGAGAATAAAGAGTGTGTCATTGTTCTCTCTTCAGGTTGTATAATTGTAGTATCTCAAATAAAGGCTGTTCTGCTCTGACTTCAGCTCTGAAATCAAACCCCTCACACTTGAGAGAACTGGATCTGAGAATAAAATAGGAGATTCAGGAGTGAAGCTGCTCTCTGCTGGACTAGAGAATCCTCTCTGTAAACTGGAGACACTTAGGTAAGATCATCTCTCCGAGAGTCACACATGACCTGGTCCTGGTACAATATAATATTGTCCAATTGCGTCGCTTAGCCATTGGTGATCAATGATAGTATTGCATATGTATATGTGTGTGTGTGTGTGTGTGGGGTTAGACAAGTGAGAGATGGAAAAAAAAGAAAAAAAAGATGCTTCTCTACTAGTACACCATGTGTGTGCATTTTCTGAAAAAAGAGCCACAAATACTGACAGAGAGGCTCTTTATTTCTCCATCTTCTTTCTGAAATATATTGCTTTAGAGCAGCAGGTTAAGTGGTTATGTCACACAGAAGACTGTTTTTATCCAACATAATAAATACACTTAACATTGTTCATGGTATCATTTGGTAGGTCTTAGTATGGTTTGGTATCTTTTGCTAAGGTTTAATAAATCACACATTTACTGCTGATAAATCACTTCTTATTAAAAAAACAGTTATACCAAAAGCTTACCATGTTATTATAGCTTTCTTTACTGTAATCATAGCATACTATCATAATTGATAATGATATGCATTTTCTTTTATATTTTATTACTGTTCATATGACCACAAAATCAGATTTATTTAAACCCTCATTCATATTTGCAAGGGAAAGCATTCTGTGTGTATGAATGACTACAGCAAGGCGTTATCTGTTTAATAAGAATGTGCTGCCTTGAGCTGCTACAGAATATTGTCACACAGCATATTTATACTGGTATAAACATGGGCTACACATCAAAAGAAAACATACTAAAAGCTAGAAGAAATGAAATATTACCAAAAAAAAAACGTGATTACTGTATTGCATCTTAAAATTGCAGATGCCACATTTTCTGACATTTAAACTTAAGACCACA